GCCACAGTCACCCCGGCAGCCATGTCAGCGCGCAGGGGCCCCCCGGGGCCCGGACTCACCCTGTGGGCAGGGACAGCGGGGTGAGGGTGGCACACACCCCGGCACCCTCCCCACCCGCTGCCCTGCAGTGGCCCTTGGCCCTGAGGCAGCAGGGGGACCGTGCTGAACCACGCCGTGGCCAGGGTGGGGCTGCAGGGCAGTGGGGACATCCCCCACAAGCCATGAGACACGGTGCAGTGGGGATGTCCCCACCAAGTCACGGGATACAGGGCAGTGGAGATGTTCCCGCTGAGACATGGGACATGGGGCAGCAGGGACATCCCCACTGAGCCCTGGGACGTGGGGCAGCAGGGATGTCCCCACCAAGGCATGGGATATGGGGCAGCGGGGACATACCCCCTGAGTCATGGAACATGGGGCAGCGGGGACGTCATACCCCCCCCAAGCCATGGGACATGGGACAGCGGGGATATCCTAACTGAACCCTGGGACATCAGGCAACAGGGATGTCCCCATCAAGCCGTGGGACATGAGGCAGCAGGAGTGTTCCCACCAAGACATGAGATGTGGGGCAGCGGGGATGTCCGCCCGAATCCATGGGATGTGGGACAATGGGAACGTCCCCAAGTCATGGCATGTGGGGCAGCAGGGATGTCCTCACTGATCCATGGGACATGGGGCAGCAGGGATGTCCCCACCAAGTCATGGGATGTAGGGCAGTGGGGATGTCCCCCTGAGCCATGAGCCACAGGGCAGCGGGGACGTCCCCCGGAGCTGTGGGGCAGTGGGATGTTCCCCTTCACCCTGGTGCTGTGCATGGAGGTGAATGGGGCTCAGCACCCACCCTGCCACCCTGGGCTCAGCACCTGGGACGCTGAGCCCTGTGCCCTGCCCACACAATGGCCCCATGGGTTTCCCTGCGATGGGGCAAACCAGGCCGCCTCCCCACACCGCCCTCGTGGGCTCCAGCCATGGCTGGGTCTTGCTGTGCTGGATGAGGCCGCTCTGTAGTTAGTGCTACCTGTGCCCCGGGGTCCCCAGCCCCGCCTCGCTGCAGGGCATCCCTGGCCACGTGCCTGGGACTGCCATCGCCCCAGCCCTGAGAGGGGCTTGGGGCAGGGGACAAATCCTGGGGGATGGGGGACAAGTCCTGCTCCTGCCATGCCAAGCACGGTGCTGGGCCCCGCACCCAGCCTGAGACAGCACCGTTACAATCTCTGGGGTCACCGTGCATCCCTCTTTGTGCCGTCCCCACCACGGGACCCCCGGTCCTGCCTCCGTGCTGCCCCGGGGCGGGCG